CTGGGCTGGGGGAATGAAAATAAACAGCCCCTCTAAGCAGCCCCTTCCTAGCAGATACCGGATTTTCCTTCTGGCTCAGCCCAGGGCCATTTCCCTCCTCTCTCCTCCCCTGCTCTCAGTCAGATCCCAAGGAGGCACAGGGCAGTCTCTACCTCAGGATGGTGAGGGAATGAAGGGTCCAGGTCCAGGCTGTGTGGCATTGGGGAACTCCCCTCCCCTCTCTGGGCTTTGGTGAGGAAAGCCCATTGAATGGAAGGCCCGGGATCAGAGGTGGCTGGAACGTTTTCTCCTTCAGGAAAGGGTTCTGATCCCAATGACTCCCATGTGGCATAAACTTAGAAACACTCTCTCCCATTAAAAACATGACCCCAAATTTAAGGGTCAATTTCTGGTTAGGTTCAAATTACACTGGTTTGCCTTTGTCTTTGGGGAAATTCTCAGACTCACCCCTAAGGCTAGGGATTGCTGCCCCCACCCCAACACTGAGGGAAGACCCATGGTAGCCAGCAGAAAGGGATTCCCAGGGGATCAGGAATGGCTGGGTTCGTGCCCCAGTTCTGAATAATTCAGGCCAAATAATCCATTCTGGGTCCTGGATCCACTGGCGGCTGAATTATATGTGCTGTCTTTGGAGCTCAGCTCATGGCCTCCTCAGTCTCTCTGGTGCCATGAGGACTCAACCAGTGAACCCCAGAGGGCTCTGTTCTCTGCCCAGTGCTCGCCCTGAGATGGGACCATGGGCCCTGAGATCCTGCATGGGTGGGGGAGCCCTAAGGGCAGGGGATCCCAAGACTTCCAGCTCCTCTAGCAGGTAGGTGGGAAGAGTCAGGGAGGGACTTAGACTCCTCTGGGCCCCTCATTTCAGGTGGGCTGGGTCCCAAACCCCACATGGGGTGTTGCAGCTGAGACCTTGCCCCACTGGAGGGTAAGGGAGTGTGTTGGAGTGTCCTGGCCTCCTCCCACTTCTGCTTTTCCCTCTTTTCTTTCCTTCTTTCTCTTCGCTCTCTCCCCCTCCCCCCTCCTCCCCTCACAAAAGCTCTCTGTACACAGCCACTTCCTCTGGCTGCTGTCTCTGAGCCCAGACCTTATGAGAACCATATGGGGGAAAGAGGCTGGAGGAGAAGGGGGTGGGGAAGCTGGCCTGGGCCCGCCCCTCCAGCCAGCATCAGTCCACTCCCCTCAGGCTATGTTGCATGGCAGTTGGCACACTCTGTCCCAAACTCCCCTAACTGGATCCTGGTGGCTGGGGTGAGGGGCACTGAGGGGAGGCCTCAGTCCAGAGCTGGAGGTCCAGAGGGAGACTGGTGCTCAAGAACCACTTCCCTGAGGCTGGAGCAAGGGCTGTGAAGGGGCCGCCCCTCCCCCCATGGTGCTTCTGAAGAACACCAAACTCAGAGCAAAGGAACCCAGCCATGGTGAGGCACATCTGTGGGACAAATGCCCCCTCCCCTATGCCCCCTCCATTCCCCTAAACTGGGAGGCTGAATGGATGAGGGTTTGTTGGCTCTGGGAGAATTTGAGTGACCTGCCCCATGTCTGGCTCCTTCCCCACCCAGCCTTGGAATGCTCCTAGGTCAAAAGGGCCTGGGTCCTGCTGGGAAGGAACAGGGTTTTTTAAAGCAGCTTTTGGGTCCACTGGGTCTCAAGTCTAGCCAGGTGAACGGTGAGTCCCTGGCCGAGAAGACCGCTAGGAGAAGCTGACCAATCCTGAGGTTGCTGTGAGCCAGCGGGTGATTATTAGCGGGGGCTGGACTTGCTGATCTCCAAGGCCCCTTTCAGTGCAAACGGTCTAGGAATTTATGACACTGGCTGGTATCCTCTGTGGTGCTGCTCTGATATCCTGGGATGTCCTCCTAGGAGATTTCCTCTGGCAGTTATCTATTACCAGTCCTTCCCTGGAATTCCTTAGAATGCCCCCTCCCCCTCACTCTAACTGCCAGAGCTGAGAACCAGAGAACAGGCCCGTCAGCTGCTGCCCAGGGGTGGGTGGGAGGCTCACAGTGGACTGCATCTCCCCCCCACACCCACGTCCTCCCTGAGATAAGCCACCCCTTTGGGACCTTCCCCCATAAAGGACAGGAGCATAAGTGCCCACAGCTGTCCTGCGGACTGGGCCTCAAGATGGGGTGGGATGGGGTGGGACAGATGGATCAGGAAGGAAGCCAAGAGCTCCGCTTTCCTGGAAAACTGCGAATGAAAATCCATTAGAGGGGGGAGGGGAAGTGAAGGGTGGGGAGGGGGCATGCAGTCTACAAAAACAGAAGGCAGAAATTGAGATGATAGGGTAGAGGTGGAAGGGCTTTGGGTGAGGTAAATAGACTTTGAACTGCTGGCAGGCCTTCTCTGAGTGAGGTCTTTGCAGACAGACACCTTCTCTAGCACTTTCTTGGCCTGAACAGTCCCAGCACCCAGTGCCTGCTGGGCTTCCCAAGGTGGAGTCCCACTTCCCCTGAGGACCTTTCAGCAGGGTGGTGTGTGGAGGGTCTGAGGTCTGGTGGCCACTCTGGAGGAAAGCAGGGGAGGAGGAGGGAGGATAAAGCCACTGCAAAAACGATTGGCCTGTTTTTTTGCACCAGGTGACAGGCAAAAAGGTAAAAGGGGAAATTTGTGTGGAAAATGAAAAAGAGCAGGGAGGAGGAGTTTGGGAGGGTGTGGAGGAGGTTCTCAGGCTCTTAGCCTCTTGCCTTGCTGCCAGGCTGAGGCGGCAGCCCCTTTCCAGGCCTCTCTTCCTTCTTCCCTCAAGATGCATGCTGGGGTAGGGATGGCTGTGCTGGAGGGACTGAGCCCAGGGGAGAGAATCCTGCCCCGCTTCTGCTGAAGAACGTGGCTTCTTTTTCCTTTAGGAGCCAGCATGGAGGGGTGGAGAGTGGGGGGTAGGTGGGAGGTGGGCAGCAATCAGGATCAGGATTATGTGGGGGTAGAGGGGGTGGGAGGAAGAACCTAAGAAATAAGTCACTGTGGTTCAGTCCCACTCCAGGTGGATGGGCCAGGGGCACCCAGCGTCTTCTCTGGCCTGGCCTGTCTGCCCTTCCTGTGGGGATGTCCAGCCAGGCTCAGGGGGCTGTTCCTTTGGAAGGTATCTTAAACCAGCCAGGTCAGTGGCCTAGGATGAAAGGGGGCTCTTCCTGTGGGGGTGGTGTGGGAAGATGAGCTGGCAGTTATGCCTGCTGCCACCCTGTCACAATATATTCTCACCCAGAATTGGCCCCGCTCTCACCTTGGAGTGGCGTCGGTGGGAATTAGCCATGGCTGGAAAGGATTAGTTGCCAAATCATTCTAAGATGTGTACCGCTAAGCCACCTTTTCATGTTCGCCCCCTTCTTTCTGCCTTCAGTACCTTAGGATTCCCTAATCCCAACAAACAGACAGCATCCTTCCCAGGTGGGTGGGCACAGCCACAAGATACAGTGTATACACAGGTACCCCTCTCGGAACTGAATTGTCCTGGCCCAGCTACTCCACACAGCAAGCATTTTCCTCCTCCAGAACTGAGTGGGCTGGGGAATGTCAGGCCTGTCTGGACCCTTCGACACTAGTGGACACTCAGCAGGACCTGGAATGAGCAGCCACAGCTGCCTTCTCAGGCCATGGTCACATCTCTGAGCTGCTGGGAGGTGGGAGAGAACAGACATACCGCCTCCACCTCCCCGATGCGCGCGTGTACACACACACACACACACACACACACACACACACACACACCCCAGCTGGAGAAAATGCAGGCCAGGCGGCCAACGTCAGAGGCTGACCGGTCCTGTTCTGTCAGGAAGCGGGCAGCCTCTGAACGCACCCAGCCAGAGGCGGTACTGTATTGTTCTGGACACAATCGGGGAGATTGTGAGCCAGCCCCGACTCGGGCAAGGGGCGTAGGGGAAACGGTTGCCACTGGGGTCAGGAGGACAGGGAAGGGGAAGCGGCTGGCAGGCTGGACCCAGGACAGGAAAGGGAAAGGAAAGGGCCACCGAGGGCCCGACCCTCCACCCCACAGGGCGTGCGTGGAGCTCCAAGCACGTGGTCCGCGCAGGAAGTCGCTGGGGTGGGGAGGGGTCGCTAACTCTCCTGCGGCTGCGGGGACCTCAGACCCCCATCAAGGAGGGTTGGGGTCGGGTTGCCAGCAAAGCGAGGGCTTCCTAAGTCTCTGGCTGGGAAGGGAACCGGGACGACGGAAGGAGGCTGGGAAGCAGCCGCCACCCCCTCTGCCAGGTTTCTTTCGTGGAAATCTTTGCTCTAAAAAGTCAATCGAGAAAGAGCCTAAGCTGGTGCCATAGGCCGGGGAGGGATGGGAGAGAGAGGGTGCAGGACCCAGCGCAGAACTCATTCCCCACATGCGCGCGGCAGGAGAGGGACCCCAGAGGGATTGGGTCGCCGGGGTCCCGTTCAGACCAGAGGCGCCTGCACCCCAAGGACAGACTTTTCGGAGCTACCCTCCCGCCTGCCCGAAGCAGATCCGCCGGCTGGAAGCCGGGCGGCCAGGCTCGGGGAGCGTCTGGAGCGCCCCCCACTGGAGGAGCCTGGCCCGCCGGGTCTACTGGGGAGATGCCTCCCGTCCGACCAGAGACTCGTCCGTGGTGGGAACCACCACAGCCACCGACTGCGCCGCGGGCGTCGACCTTTCCAGAGATTTCTCCGTCCCCCCTCCCCCTCCCTCCACCCCTCCCACCCACCCCAGGCCCCCGAAGTTCGCCACACAAGCCCGGGCTGGAACCTCGAGGGGCGCGGGCGTCCCGCCAGCAAGCACTCCCCTTCACCTGCGCAGGTGAGTGGGCGCCCGCGGTCCCTCTCTCTGGGTCACGCCGGCCCCTCGAAGCCCCCCTCCCCTCCACCCTCCGGAGCCCCAACCTCTCCTCCGGTCCCCCAAGCCTGCTGCTCGGCGCCGGCACTCCACCCGTCCGGAGGTCTGCAGCGGCGGTGGCGCCCGCGTCCCCCTCTCCCCGCCCCTCCCGTCCAGTCCCCGTCCGTCCTCCCGTCGGCTCGGGCGGGCGGCCGAGGAGGGTACTCACAGGGTAACGGTGCCGTTAGGCAGGAGGCCGGGCTCGGGGGGCTCCGGGAGGTCCCCGCCGCCGCACACCACCCTCCTGCGCGCCGGGTTGGGGGCGCCGCCGCTCAGCCCCTTGGGCCGCTCCCCGGAGCACTTGCAGCTGCGGATGGGGACGGGGCAGCCGGGCGCACCCCGCGTCTCGGGTGCGAGGAGCAGCAGCCACGGCAGCAGCGGCAGCAGCAGGCGCGCGGGCGCCCTCCGCATCCTGCATCCCCCGGCGCCCATCAGCCCATAGCCCCGCGGGGACCGACAGCACTGGGGCCGGGCTGCGCGCGGGCCGGAGGGACCCGGGCGGACGGGAGGCGTGTTCAGCAGGGGCCCGGGGCGCCCAAGGGCGGGGCAGGGGGCCCTGGGCGGAGGCAAGCCCGGGGGTCCCCGCCGCCGCGCCCCGGGGGCATGTCCGGCGCGCGCCCCGGCGGGGAGGACGCGGGCGCGGCTGTCAGCGCGGAGCGGGCGGCCCTGCGCGGCGCGCCCCGAGTGTCAGCGCGGGGCTCCCGGGCCCCTCCGCGTCGCCGGCTCTCTCGGCGCTGGGCTGGGACCTAACGGATCGCGCCGGGATCCTGCTGCCGCCGCCGCCGCCGCCGCCGCTTCGTGCCATGGATGGAGGCAGCTCAGCGCGGCGCTGCTCCCGCCGTCGCCAGACCCCGCCCGCCTTCCCGAGGGGGCGCCCTCCCCTCGCCAGCTCGTCCGCGAGGCCCTAGCGCCTCCCGATACGCAGCCAGGCCGGTGCCCTCCTGGGCCCGCGTGTCCCCTGCACCGGCCCAGAACCTAGACTCCTTCTCTCTCCCGCCCCTCTCCACAACCCATCTCAGACCTTCAAGCCCACCAGCATCACTGTCCCCAAAACCCTCCCTCCCTCCTGCTCATCCAGCCTGCATCCCATGCTTCTGGGGCTTTCGTGGACCTGCCGTCTGGGCCAGAGGTGTCTGGTGCTCCATGTTTTGGGTTGAACTTGGTTCATCTCTCTGGGGTATGAGACTCGGCTTCCCTTGGCCCCTGACCTGATGGGTCAGCCTGGAAACAGGCTCTCACTCTCACGCCCTACCCCAGCCCCTGCAGGACACAGCCGGAGCCTCAGGAGGCCCAGACCCTCCTCGGCTGCTGTGACCTCGGCTGCTGTGACCTTGCCCAGCGGGGCGTGCATGTCGCTTGGTCAAGGAGGGGGCAAAGGCCAAGGCAGAAGGGCTAGATCTTGCCTCTTACCAGCATGTGCTTGTGTGTGTGTGTGTGTGTGTGTGTGTGTGTGTGTGGAGGGGGGAGATAGGGCAATGGGAATGAGGGAGCCCAAGAAGAGGAAAAGCAGGAATTGCTGGGGTGTGGGAAGACTGTTAGTTAGAAGAGCCCCATTCTAGGCAGCTCTGTGACTTTGCACATAGCCCCTAACACCCTAGGCTCTCTAATCTCTGATGTCAAATGGGGCCCTGCAAACCCCCTAGTTTATGAATGTACGTGTGGCATGAGAATGAGTGAGTGAGAGGAGCACCCCCTTTCCAGAGACAGAAAGGTCTGAGGGCTTTGGGCAGGGTCTGACCTTGACAGCTGGGGGTGGGGATGGAAATTGCCTGTGGGTCTTTGACGGACTGGAATGCAAGCTGGGAACGGGGCTGGGGACAGAGGGAAAGAGAAGTGTGGCCCAGGGCGTCTGCTTCCTCGGTTTCCCCGCAAAGGCTGACTTTTCTGCCACTTAACAGTCTTGCTGCTGAGGAGCAGGCAGCCCAGGTTGGGGGGTCCCTGGGCAGGACTCCTGCTCTCCATCCTTCACTGTGCCACCCAAGTGGTCGCTACGGTGACCCTCACCTTCCTTCTGTGTTCCTGGCCCTGCTGTTGTGTGTGTGTGGCACCTTTCCCGGGACGGTGGTCTTTCAGCGGGTCTCCCACCTCCCTTTGCAGGGGAGCAGCTTGTCTTCCTTACCCGTGGGCCTCCGTGGCAGACATGGGGCCCAGACACTGGCTTCTTCACTTTCCCTCTCTGGCTCCACAAGTCTCTCCCAGTTGCAGGCTCTGGTTCCTTCAACTTCCAAAGATAAATAAATAGTGATTGCAAATGGGGGAAGAGAGAAGGGCAACGGACTCCCGCAGCAGGAGCCCTCGGCACAGGCTGAGGCTGCATTCCTCAGGAAGGGTCGAGAGTGGAGTGTGCCACAGAGCACAGCCCAGGGCAGGCTCTGCCATCCAACCCTTCTGTGCCCAGGAGAGGAAAACTTTCCAGAGAAGAGAGGAGAGGAGAGGAGGCCTCTGGCCTGGGCCACACGGCTTTTCTGTCAGCTCTTTTTGCTAAATGAAGAAACTCCAAGTCTGGAAAGGAATCCCACTGTAACACCCATTCGCTGAGGCTGAACAGAGGCCAAAGGACATTTAATAAGGTGATGCCTCCCCACAGGTGGGAATGAGGGGCTTGGCCAAGACATTTGCAAAACACTGTCCTGTCTGTTTTCCCTCATTTTTGGCTTCTGTTACCTACCCAGGGAGGTGAATGGGGCTGGGGTTACTGTCCCATTTTAAAAGTGTGGATGAGAAAACTGAATCACTCACTGAGGAATAAAGAGCCAGAGGTGTGAGCTTACCTTCTGATTCTTTATTTTTACTTATTGCTTTTGAGAGAGAGATTTGTTTCTCCCCATATTTATGCATCCATTGGTTGATTCTTCTACGTGCCCTGACCTGGGATCGAACACACAACCTTGGCGTATTGGGATGACGCCCTACCCAACTCAGCTACAGGCCAGGGTTGACTCCTTTTTAAGTGCTCTTTTCTCCCAGCCACTCACAGCTTTTCTGATAGGAAGCTCCTGGTTATTTGTCCTCAGGGGGCAGGGTGGAGTGAATGAGTGGCCTACTTGAAAATCTTTTTGTCTTGAGGTTTGTTTGAGATAGAAGGATGACTCAAACTTAGATCCCAACTTCTGGAAATCCAGCTAAGGAGTTTGTCCAAAGTCCCTGGTGTATGATAAGCTCTTGAATGGAGTAGGGATAAGGAACCATGATAACAGGGACGAGGCTGAAGTAACCCTGACTGACGCAAGGGAGCCGGGCTTACCATAAGTTTTAGTCTAATCTGGGGTAGAAGTGTAACCCACATGACTCTTCCAGACCAAATGTATTCCCTTAAAGGTCTGGGGGCTTACATGCTATGCCCCGCTCATAAAAAGCTTGCCTTTGCCAGGTGCTAGCTGCAGACCAACCTCTCTCTTGTCCCCAGCATCGATGCTGATCCATTTCCCCTTGTTAAGGAATGACCGGGGCCTTTTACCTCAGGCTAGACCAGGCCCTTCATTAGTAGCAGCTGAGAGTGGAAATGGGGTGACGGTCACTGTCCCCTCTCGCCATGACTGGAGCAGAGCAGAGCTACGGCAGGACCTGCACAAAAGGAGGGTAACATCGCTGAGTGCTTATCCTGTGCCAGGCACTGTTGACTGCACTTGATAAGAATTAGCTCAGTCCTCACAACTAGGTGAAGATGACTGTTTTAACCGACAGGGAGCTGAGGTGAAGAGGTACCTTAATAGTAACTTGCCCAAGGATATACAGTAAGTAACAGAACCAGGATTTGAACCAGGTATTCTGGACTCCAATTTTTTTAATTTTTATTTATTTATTTTTAAAATATGTTTTTATTGATTTCAGAGAGGGAGAAAGAGATAGCAGCATCAATGATGAGAGAGAATCATTGATCTGCTGCCTCCTGCATGCCCTCTCCTGAGGATTGAGCCCATTACCTGGGCATGTGGCCTGACCAGGAATCGAACCATGACCTCCTGGTTCATAGGTTAATGCTCAACCACTGAGCCACACCGGCCTGGCTGGACTCCAATTTTTTGACGGCCGTTCTCTATAGTTTCTAGGGGGAGGAAAGGGGCTCTCAACAACCACCCCCCCCCCCATGAGTTTCACTCCCTTTGAAGTTTCTTCATTTTGATTCCTTGGCCCCTCTCTGAGCTGAATCTTTACTAGTAAAGATGTCCATTCCCAAACCAGATCTGGTGGTAGAACCAGGATCCCCTCCTCTATTCTTCTAAGGGAGTCAAGGAAGACAGAAACTTTTCAAAGGAGCTTCAGACCTCAAACGAAGGCGAGGGGTGAAAAAGGACTGTTGGGAGGCTATAAACATGTATAGAATCAGAGCATGTCCCAGCTCCAGGCCCTTCTCTCCTTTCCCAGCTGGCTGAGGCCCCACCCTGGATGCTGGCCTTTCGATTCTTAGGTTTTCTTACTCCCTCTGTGCCTTGTTGCCTTTCAGAAGCAAGGTCCTAACATAGATCCAGGATAACAGTGGGCAAGATCATAGGCCATCATTGAATCAATAATGCAAATGTGACATTTCTCTAGGGCTCCATTAGCTTATAAAGACAGTTGAGGCACAGAGCCTGTGATGCCACCCCCCCCCCCCGTCCCCCCGTCCCCCATTCTCCCACTTCCCTCCCAGGATGGCTCTACTGGGCAGTCCTCTGATCACTCTGTCCCCCCTTTCCCTGTCTTGTGCCTCCCTGTGGGGGCTGTGTTGAACTGCCTGTCCTGTTGGAACATTCACACTGAGTGCTCATGACAGGCGCTTGTGCCTCAACCAGAAGGAAAGAATGAGAATTCATTCCTATCTAGATGAATACTTGGGGCTGTAAGGGCTTCCTTTTCGTGCACAGATTTCACCACATACCAGTTACCTGTGTATAATTTAGACATTTTCAGGGTTATAATCTCTGACTCTATTAAAATCTGACTCATCCTTTGAGTGAAATCTACTCACATTCTCCCAGATGATGGAATATCTCCTCACTGTAAGCACAGTGGCTAAGAGCATGAACTCTGAAGTTGAATCCAAATTCCTGTCTTTCCATTTTATTGATCATGTGACTTTGGGCAAGTCACTTAATTTATCTGCACCTCTGTTTTCCCATCTGTGAAATGGGGAAGAAACAGCATTTACTTCAGAGGATTGTGATGATGATGTCAGTTATATGTGTGGGTGAAAAAGGAGCCACTGCATGGCTCAGGGGAGGCCTGCATGGCAGGCCTTACAAACTCAGAGACAGAGAAACCATATAGGATGGTCTGGACATAAAAATTTCTAACTAAAAAGTCATGGCAGGTAGTCTGGTCCTAGGCTTGTAGTTTCCTTGACAAAGGTCAATCTTTACCTTAAGTGGGCCAGTCTATTGTCTTTTTGCATCTAAGATAACTTTGAAATGTCAGAGTAATCTGTGCAGTAAAGCACAAAACCACAGAATCCCTCATTATCTTGTTCCCTGAATACCATCTCTGTGCTGTAAATGTTAAGTATTAACTATCCTATACCCACCAGTGTAAAGGAAGCATGTGTCTCTCCATTTTGCTTTTTTTCCCCAATCCCAGAGATTACTCTGCTTTGCTTTCTTCTGCCCCCTGTCATCTACCACCAATAGATTTCATGTAATCCTCCTTACATCTCCTTTTATTGTAGTATCTACTATAATAATAAAAGTGTAATATGCAAATAAACCAAACAGCCGAACAGTGGAATGACCATCTGGATGACCATGCTATAACACCCACTGGCACCAGGCCAGCCAAGGTGGGTGCGGTGCCATTGGTTGGGGCCCCACCATTGCCCCATGATCACCCGCAGAGGGAGGCCCAGGCCACCTACTCACGGGCTGTGG